GGTGCCCAATCAATACCGACTTATTTCCTGTCCATTTGCTGAGGTCACGGAAACGGGACTCATTAATTATTTCTACTGGTGCAGCCTCAAGTGCACTTCTGGCACGACAAGTGAAAGCCAGCTGTGACCTTTTTTTCTTCCCCCTCCTGAATTTTGCTGGTGGCGGTGGCAGCCGGCGTGTGTTCCTCCGTCAGGACGGGCCAGGGGGATGATGAGGAGCCCAGCGGTGCCGGGTGCCGCCGGTGTCCCTGCCATACTGTTCCCACCTGCGGAGGGAGAGCAGCTCCTCCCGGGCGGCGAGTCAGGGAAACCTGGTCACGGCGTAGACGATGTTGGCCAAGGCGGCCCTGGCCTCGGAGGGAGGGAAGCGCTCCAGGGCTGCCAGCGCTCTGTTTCCGTGGCAGCGGCAGAGGTCGATGGCAGAAGTCACACCTTTGCCGGCCTTGATCGCTTCCTGCAGCTGTCAGAAAACACAGGCACAACGGGGTGGGTTTTGGCAGCAGAGAGGCACAATTATCTCCGAGAGCACAGGGCTCCCACCGCCCCTTCCCGAGGTAAGGGCAAGAACCAAGGCTGCCAGACAAAGCTCTCCAAATACTCTCTCAGCTGCTCCATTTTGGCTCTCCACTACAGCAAAACTGCAGGTAATTTAAACTACATCACACATTACTTCAGCACCTGAAAGATGCTGGCACTCCAAAGGGCACACTTAATTAAAAAAACCCCAAAGCAACAAACAAACCAACCAATATTTTTAATACCTGAGCATTTCACACCTAAGCCACTGCCTCAGAGCTTTTGTGCAGGACTGGCAGACCAGCCGCTCGCACTCTCATTTTCCACAGTCAAAACTGGAATTTATGAACACCTATTCCATCCCATTTTTGGAAACAATCTTAGGATGACACATGTTGAACTCATGTTTTTTGTAATACAGGTTTCTCCTTACATACCACATGATAACATTTGTTACAATGGACAAAAGCAAATTTGGTCAGTAAAATGGGATGTGTTAAACTTTATCATACTGAGCTATATCCACGCTAACTCAACCTCAATAAGGCTGGGGAGTTTGACAGTGGTTCAGAGATACATCATGAAAAAACCCTGTATTTTCATGGAGTAACAGACATTTCATGGCAAGCTGCTGGAAAGATTTGGCACCTAAAAAACTTGGGTAAATGACAGGCTAAATTGCTATGAAATAATATGAACAAATATGTCAAACAAAACATGTTGGTTTTTCCCAGTACCTCAGTTGAGCTGAAGCTCTAAATAGTAATCACATTTATTAAAAGCTTTTAAAAAAAATTATCATTTCTTCCTGAACATCATCATGAGACTGTCATGAAACACTGTTATTTTGTTCCACACTAAAATATAGGTGTCCCCAGACCAACTCCAGCCTGATGCCTCATGCCAGACCCTGGGAACCAAGGCCAGGTATATCTTTGGAATTTGACTGCTCCAAAAACATGACAGCATTTCATGATCCTTAGTGTGTCCCACATGGCTTTCATAGGTAGGTTACATCACTGTAACAACTTTAAAAAAAAGGCTTTTATTGAACACAGATATCTACCGTAACTAATTATACAGGGTTTCATAAATTGTTTTCCTCCAATACACAGCCCAGTGCCTCAATTAATTTACAAAGACATCAGCATTACCTTACTGTATAGTTTAAGTAATGTAAAAAATATCAATTGTAAAAGTCACCCATTTTATACAGGTACCTGCATTTACAGATAATGACTGACATTTCTTATCTGAATACAAACTGGAATCGGATTAATTATCTGTATTTAAAGATGAAATTAGCTGAAAGCATATTACAGGACTTGAACACTGAAGTCCCAGTTCATAAAAATTTTATTCTCCACTTCAGTTAGAATGTCCCTGCACTCTGTGCTGGAAAGGAACTTGCCCTGAAGCGTAAATGCATTGCATAGCTAAATTAACACATCGTCTAATGAACGGGAATCAGCCACGTAACTGCGGTTCTACAGCAAAGGTGGGGAGAGGTGAGGTCAGGTACACCAGCAGCGTGAAAAGGTGTTGCTTCCCCCTTCCTTGAGGCACAGCTTTGCGAGATGGTAGAAACCACATATCTTGGAGCAAACTCTGCCAATTCACTAAAGCTCATCTAAAGCTCATTACCTATCTGGTAATATTCATATAAATACACCGAGAAGTAAACAAAAAAGAAAACAGCTCCCCAAAACAAAAAAAAATCTTTAAAGTGGTCAAAGGTCAGAGGAGCTCAGTTTAAGCACATATGACTGCATATATGTGCTACCACTTACTTGTAACACCAAAAATCTGGAAGAGGGAAGAAGTCTAATGCAAGGACACAATCCATTTACATGCTTGTCTTGTGTAAGCCCTTAGACACATGTAGTGCCTTGAAGCCAAAACAATTGCAAAGCTCGTGTCAAACTAGACGCAGAGGAATCACTACACAAAAATCAGACTAATCCACTATTGAACGTTTCCAAGCAAAGTTCGAAGAACCTCAGAATTAAAAATGCCTGCTCACATGGCAAGCTCCTTCCTCAGCTCTTCAGTTAGAGATCGCCCTAGGTAATGAACAACTTACAGCCCTTAAAAACCCTACCTGTTTTATATTCCATTTGCAGAATCAACTGGTCAACTCAAATAAGCATACACTGAGGCAAACCAGTCTGGATTAACCAGACTGCATGCTACCTCTATCTTAGCTGGGGTTGTAAAGGGATAGTTATTAAAGAAATAAAGGATATAACTTCATAGGAAACCAGGCTTCAGTAGCCCTGCTGTATGCAAAACCCCCTAATTTAAGCCTTTGGCTGTACTGTTACTTGTATTACAGTTACACTTTCATGTTCTCAATTTTTGAGCTTCAATGACTTTAAGTAACGAACCTCACAAACTAATTATACAGTTAAAAAAAAAAAAAATCCATGTATCCAGTTTAGATTTATTATTTTTTAAATTTCATTTGGATAGGAACAGCTAATTTTTGAGGCAAATAAACAGAAAAGCAAAATTAACTGCTTTAATTTGTTACTTTATAAACTTTAATGAAGCTCCCTCATTAATTTCTTCTAAATAAAGGAATCTGCTCTCTTAGTCTTTACTTATATGGCATCATTTTGTGCATCAAACATACTTCCACTTCTTTGGAACAATTTCATCCATCGTTAAAACACAGCCTTCTTCAGAGTGGCATTCAATAATTAAAACAGAATACAAGTCAAAATTCAGAATGTTTTGACACACTTTCCTCCAGTTGAATTGCTGGATATGCTGGAATACTGCATTTCAACTTTTAAGCTTTTGTTCAGGCCATTGGCACTAAAGCCCTTCTTCTTTCTAAGGGTGCCAAGAATTTGAAAAATTATTGAGGGTCTCTCATTATTTAAATGCAGCCTAGAGAATAGTCTTGCAATAGTGCAGCCAAGCCAAGACTCAGACGGGAAGTGCTATGTGCCTCCCTGCCCCTGCAACCTGTTTTTCTTCAGCACCTTCTGTTTTCCTCAATATATTCAGATATTGACCAGGCTTGGCAGTTTTGCCTGGTATACATGAAGCTCAGAACCCCAGAGTTTTATGTGTGAGGGTTGTTCTATGTATCTAAGGAAAAGCAACAATAACAACAATCATCGTCACAAGAAAATCTTCACAGACTGGGAAAAAAGGGTGCCTGGCTGGGCACTGAGAACACAGCACATCAAGAGCCTTGCTCCATTCAGCCTGCTCTGCCTGCGCTAAGCCCAGCCTCATCCATTAGACCCGCAATTAATTCATTATTATTTCTTCTCATTCCCTAGTCTTTGGCTAGAAGGAATCATAGAATGGTTTGGATTGGAAGGGACCTTAAAGATCATCTAGTTCCAACCCCCCTGCCATCAGCAGGGACACCTTCCACTAGACCAGGTTGCTCAAAGCCTCATCCAGCCTGGCCTTAAACACTTCCAGGGAGGGGGCATCCACAACTTCCTTAGGAAGGATAGCTCTGATCAAGAATTACAGAAAAAGGTAGAGAGAACAGAAAGAGATGGAAAGAAGTGCTGAGGGTTTCTCATTCTGAATGATCTGAACACACACGGGAGAACAACTGCTGAGTGAGAGACTGGGCTCTACTTCTCCAGCTTCCTCCTTCCCTTCCCATCATTTCTATATCAGCTCCTACTTCAGTCATCTTATACCAGCAAACCAAGAGGAGGAGAAAGGGACCCTTTCTGAGCCCTTCCAACTTTAAGGCTGCTTTTCACTATCTAGGTTGCCCAAGGAAGTTGTGGATGCCCCCCTCCCTGGAAGTGTTTAAGGCCAGGCTGGATGAGGCTTTGAGCAACCTGGTCTAGTGGAAGGTGTCCCTGCTGATGGCAGGGGGGGTGGAACTAGATGATCTTTAAGGTCCCTTCCAATCCAAACCATTCTATGATTCTATGATCTCCCTCCACATCCACATGCTCTAGGCATGTCCTGCAAATAAATGGTAACAAGCCATTGATTGTTCCTCAAAGACTGCCTCTTGCCATGCCTTGGCCCACTGGAAATGAGAGTTTTATATCAGCACCTTGTTTTCAGGCTTCCATTTCCTATCCTTCAGGGGACAACTGTAAGCACCAAATAGCTGGAGTACGGGCATTTTCCACTCAAGCCTCTGAGCTTTGCTGGGCCAAGAGCAGAACCAAAACCCAGAACAGCAGGCACTCTCTATGAAAAGAGGGATCTGGGTTCAAGACTTTGGTCTCAGGACTGCTTCCATCTCTCATGTTAAAAGCTACTGGATAAAATACAGAAGTCGTTTTGGGGCAATGGCCAAATAACCATATACAGTCTGTTCATGGTTTTGCTCTACATGTGGGAACAGAAGGGTGCTACAGATGAGAACTTTACTTCTCTGTTCACTGAGTCGCCATCTAAGTCCTCCCTAAAACCAAAAGAGGATGCTTGTGTGTCCCACCTCTCTGCTTATAAGCTAGTAAGATATTAAAACTAATAAACAATTTCCTGCAGTAGAGCATAAGTGATTAATAAAAAGAAAACCTGTGTTGTCCAGTCCATATCATACATTAAATTGTAGAGAATTCACACTCCTGCTCCTGCTTTGTAGGATTAATGTTGAGTTGGTTTTTTTTTTATTAAACATTTAGGCAGATTAATAAGGGATATTCTACATTTGGATTAATAACCTACACAGGGCCTACCACATAGCTTTTAGATTCTACTGATTTGTTACAAATATAAAAAGAGTAATGAAATGGTGATGATGAATCTGAAAACCAACTGCTAGTTTCACATATGGTACTAAATGGTCATCCAACAGAAGTTGCCTCTAACTAGATTTGACAGCCTTCAACTAGATTCAAATTAATGCCCAACAGGCCAAGAGGTCCACATCCTGTTTTTCTGATGTTTCAACTATCTTCTTTTTCCTTCACAGTTAGTTATCTACATGCGTAATTTTTTCCT